CTAATGATGTTTGCTTTTCTACATCATAAATAGCCGAGACTCTGTTAGTTGTTGGCTCAGTACTAGGCGGCGCCTATTTTGGTATTTATTTAAAACAAAAACATATAAAAACCGATGTTCCCAGAAACTGTACAACAACAAGAAGTGCAAACTGAAAGGAAAATTAACATTTAAAAATACCAATAAAAAATTGCAAACTTTATAATCTGTAGATTTACTCAAATGTTCAAAACCTGTATTTTTGTTTTGCTCTATTAGCTGACACTTACGAATTTTCATCTAATATTCTAATAGGTAGCTTTAGGAAGTATGCATTTCTCCCGATTCCGGAATGAAAGCTAGGACGTGTGGCCAACCAGCATCACAATATGGTAAGATTGTAAAAATCAAGGGAACACTACTTAAATGAGCTGTCAGAATTGAAGACCCAATTGAAGACTCATCTCTTCCGGCAGGCCTACCCAGTCAACTTTCAATCATGAGTTTTGATTTACATTCTATTGTGGCTATACGTTAAATTTGTACCCTGGTGTTTGGTATTTTGCTTTGACTTCCTGTACCCCTCCTCAAGCCATCAGGAGAGGTGTGTTATATATTATTATTGTTGTTGTTGTTATTATTATTATTAACAACAGCAGCAACAATAACAAGAGGATTTAAAGATAGAACTGAAAAGACTGGCACAAGCCAGTAAAGGTGGTTCCAGTGGTGATCGGCACACTGGCTGCAGTGCCTAAAGTCCTTGGCTTGCACTTCAAAACAATCAGTGATGACAAAATTACCATCTGTCAGCCGCAAAGGCAGGAAGCCCCCGGTGGTGCAGTGGGTTAAACCCCTGTGCTGGCAGGACTGAAGACCGACAGGTCGCAGGTTCAAATCCGGGGAGAGGCGGATGAGCTCCCTCTATCAGCTCCAGCTCCTCATATGAGGACATGAGAGAAGCCTCCCACAAGGATGATAAAAACATCAAATCATCCGGGCGTCCCTTGGGCAACATCCTTGCAGACGGCCAATTCTCTCACACCAGAAGTGACTTGCAGTTTCTCAAGTCACTCCTGACATGACAAAAAAAAAAGCTGCAAAGGCCACCCTACTTGGATTCTGTGATACCCAGCCTTATCCCTGCCCATACCAGATTCCATCCTAAATCCCATCACACAGAAAATATATCTTACATAAAAGTTTGGTAAGACAAGTTTATTGTCACAAAATAGTTAATACCAGAATAACTTACAATAGTATGAACTAAAGTGAAGTTTTTACTCTTTGTTTTAATTTTTTTTATTTTTTAAAAAAACTCACATTGTTATGACAAAATCCAGTAGATCTGATCTCAAACGTCACTGTTGTAGAGAGACCTCTTTTGCATAAGGATGCAAGTCAATAAAAAGTACACTTCAACTGTTCATACAGTCGCAACATATATTTCCTGCTTTTATGTCGATGCAAAACAGCCATTTTTATAAAAAGTAAAAATATATATTTATGTACAAAATATTTTTTCATATCAAATCATTTTAATTATACACTTTAAAAACAAACAACCATCAGAAAACGCTATGTTACATCAAGATGCATTCTACATGTTACACCAGGGTTGGTATTTGCTATCTAGATTATATTAGTGCAATTGGAACTGGCTATGCTTGAGGAACTTTTTTAGTCAGTTTTATTGAGGGTTCGATCCTCGTCATTACATGGTAGATGTTCATATACATCCAGGAATGAAGGAATGTGCATAGTATGGAGGTATCAAAAATTGTATTACAAGAGAGAAATCAAGAGGAAACATTACAAAAAAGACTGAGTTCAGACTTAAATCAAAACCTTGTTGATTTTGATCGAGTTGTATGAACACAACTATTGCTAGGGGCTGGTGAATTTATGAATGTGGGTTTTGCTGGGTTTCTCATCTCGCCAACTTTAAGTTCAGTTTGATGCAAGTTCATATCCCTTTATGAACAGCACAAAATTCAGTCCCTCAAGTCAGCATAAAAATTAGTCTATTTTTTATATGAGAGAGTATCTCTCTGGGAATCTGAAGGTCCCCCAGCAAAACCGTATGGTCAACTTCCACCAGAAGAGTACCACAGAATTGAACTGAAGGGCCTAGAAATATCTAGAGAAGTATTCTTTCTAGGAATTTTTTGCTCCTTGAGCTACTGCATGGTCAACTTCTGCAGGACAATGACCACAGAATCATGCTGGAAGATCTACAAATTCCTAGAAAAGTACAGTATTCTTTCCAGAAATTTCTAGTTCCTCTAGTTCCTCCAGAGCAGTGGTTCTCAACTTGTGGGTCCCCAGGTGGGTCCCCAGGTGTTTTGGCCTACAACTCCCAGAAATCCAATTTATCAGCTGTTAGGATTTCTGGGAGTTGAAGGCCAAAACATCTGGGGACCCACAGGTTGAGAACCACTGCTCCAGAGCAACTGTGTGGTCAATGATTATCAGAAGTTGACTGTAGAGTTGTGATGGAGACCCTGGAGATTCCTAATCAAATTCGCAAAAATTAAACCATGAAAAGTGGAGGGAAGATTCTATATGTGCAGGGTATGTGCGCATGTTAATTTTATGCTTGTATTGGGAGAAAAGTATTCATGGAAAAGCTGATTGAGACTTGGTTGTACTTACTTTGGACCCACTATAATGGGGGCTTTAGAAAAGTCATGGCTCGCTTAAGTCCCATTACTTTCAGTGGTGTATTCTAAGCATGAGTAAGTTTGGATCCCATCAGCTCTACAGTTTATATAACAGGGTGGACTTGTTGAGATCCTTGGCTTTTTGCTTGATGAACAAAATAATAAGACAGCTTTACTCACCTCAACCAGGACACATGCCTTTGTTTTTGAGTGAACCATACTGTGTTGAGTGAAAAAGGGGATTTGCAGCATTCCTAGACCAAGAACTCATTTGCAAATTTCTGAATTTATCTCAAACTCAATCCCCCTATTTAAATCAGGATACTGTTATTCGGATGTGTCATTCAATCTGGTTCAAGGGAAATAAACTAGGTTTCAACTTTCCCCTGAACTGGATTGTGGACAATTAACTCTTTTCCCCAGTTTTCTTTTACCAGCTCACTATAAACTATATTTGGCTTTACTATTGTTTATTCAAGAGGGGCACATGATTAGAATATTTCTGTATGGTTGAAGAAAAATCCTGTATATCTCCATAAAAGCCTATTTTATACAATTCAGTCTACTCAATGGCAGATGAATGTAAGGGTTCGAAATGTTGTTTTTAATGCTCAATTTAGCATGTACTTTGACTCTGAATTCAGTCAGTGCCACAATTGTTGGGTGTTTTCTACGTGCCACATGTTTTCAATTCTGGCTTTTCACTTTATATAATATATAGATTTCATTACTCCCCCTGCCCCACTCCATTTCATTGGAATGGGAATTGTCTTCATTTGAAAGATTCCGTACCAAAATAAAAACATTTTGGATGCATTAAGGCAATAACAGTTTCCGCTGTGGAAAGTTATTGAATTCCAGTATAAATAATAAACTGAAACCATGGGTTGATTTGGTACCAAAAAAGTGATCTCCTTTGTTTACTTACATAACAGTTTCAATAAGTCAAACAGAAGAAATCCAAACTGGGTTTACTCATGGCTTCACTGAGAAGCAAAGGCTTTCTTATCTAAACACATAAACGCTATGGAATATTTGGAGCATGGGAGCATTATTATATGAGGCTTAAATCCCTTTTGAGTTCTTGTCTTCCTGCTCACATAAACCACCAATCAGTGTCAATGCAAAAGACAACCTGAAGAAAGGCATCATAATGCAAATGGCCACTACAAAGTATAGGTAAATATTCACATTATGAAGTTATTGAAGCGGGAATTGCTACAAGTCTCCTGTAAATGCCCTAAATTTATATTTTCCTTGCATGGTTGTATTAGGAAAGACATATTCATGGAAAGACTGGGTTAATGGAGACCTGATTATAGATACATACAGATATACATATATACAGGTTGAGTATTCAGAAATCCAAAATGCTCCCAAATCCAAATCTAGAATTGTCTATATGTGTGGCAGAAATAATGCCACCTTTACTTTGGAATTGTTAAATATGCACACATTTTGTTTTATGTACAAAATTATTTAACATATTGTGTATAGAATTACCTTTAGCCTATGCGCATAAGGTGTATATGACTTTTGTGTTTAGTATTAGGTCCCATTACCAAGATACCTTGCTCTCTGTGTAAATATTCCAAAATCAGAAAAGGCCAAGAGTCTGAACACTGCTCCCACCCTAGATATATTGGTGTCACCTTAGACCATACACTAACATTTAAGAAACACTGTATGAACACCAAGCACAAAGTAGCTGCAGAAACTTGCTGGCAGCACATGGGGTGCAGACCCAAAATTAATAAGAACATCAACTCTGACCTTGTCTTACTCAACCGCTGAGCATGCCTAGCCTGTTTGACACAAGTCTGTCCACGCAAAGTAGGTAAACATTGCACTGAATGAAACATGCAGAATAATCACAGGATGTCTCAAACCTACACCTGTTAATAGGCTCTATAAGCTAGCTCGCATGCCCGATGTGCGACTGCTAAGTTGCTGGTAACTGGGAGAAATAAGGCTGAACACTGTGAAAGCAGTCCTCTACATGGATATCAGCCTCCTCCTAATAGACTCTAATCAAGGAAAAGCTTAATGAGAACCACCACTCCTCTTAATGTTTCCCCAGCAACAGCAAGAGCATCCCTCTGGGCAGCTAAACCAGGAAATCCCAATCGGATGCCCACTACTACGGTCTTCTTCTAGGGGCCAGAATGGGCAACTTGGAAGTCCTCGAACAGACTCAGAAGTGGAGAGGGCAGATCAAAAGACAACCTGGCTAAATTGCACTATCTAGAAGAATCCTCCACCTTGTGCAACTGTGGAGCAGAATAAACAACTCAGCATCTGTATGCTTGACCACAATGTCCTGCCTCATGCACAGAGGAAGAATTGTTTAAAGCTATTGGCCATTTTTTGTCTAAAATTATTTAGTTGCCTGTGCTTCCTTTATTTTATCAGTTTTATACTTATTTATGCAATGCTTTTGACAATAAATTAAATTTTAAAAAGCAGACAATACCCAAATCCTTTTGGTTCCAAGCATTTTGGATAAGGAATACTCATATTATGGGAAGAAGGGAGAAAGAGAAAGATGTGGCGATGTTCCTCAAAATAAAAATAAACATTGTCTATTTTCCTCTACCGTATTGCACTTCATCTGTTTTGGTAATATTGCAAATGCAGGGAAAGGATTAAAAATCAAGGTACAAACAGTAACAACTTCTTCACTTGAGCAAGAAAAACTGTACATGACTTGATGACAAAGTGAACTTTTCTTTTTTGAGATGTAGAATATCATTCCAGAGACTTACCAAATTCTACCTTGCACAAGGTAAACGGATATGGTCTTAAAAATAAAAAAATCCTCCTTTTTGAGGTCAGTTTTTAATTACTCAGGATGCATCTAGAATTACATGCAAAGGTTAAAGCGTTATGGCATTGACACTTTGAGGCACAGTTGTCTTGAGCTGTGCCCACGTTCTAGCTTATTGTAAGAAAGCAAGGCACTTATTGTTATAGCAATGCAGAGGCGTAATGTGCAGTTTGATTAATACAATAAAATAAGTTAATAGTTTGATTCAAAAGAAATTGGAAGGGCTTTTTCTTCCATAATTTACATGCCCTTTATAGAACTGATTTTACATTTATATAACAACAACAGCAACACATATTTTAGCCTGAGCGAGCATCTGTTTATTGTCCATGGGAAATCCTCTAAACAAGCACCCCTAAAATAAATGGAAATCAGCCGACAAAACTTCCAGCCTCTTGTAAAAATTCCCACCCATTTTAGTGGTACTTATTTACTGGATGATTTTGGTACCCATCATTATTTTTACAGATCATCACACAAAAGGAATTATTTTCCAATATTCGTTTTAGACCTCTTGTCTTGATTTTATGGGGAAACCAATAGTATGAAAAAAAAAGGAAAGTCCGCTTGAAAGGCAAGGCATCTCACTTGCTTTAAAATGGTGGTACTAGTGGCACTTTGACAGTCTTTACTTCTGATATATGCGATGATTTCTGGATGATGCAGCTGGTTGTTCCTTGCAGTTTGTCCTTTCCTTGTGCAAGGTTTGTTAAGGCCATTGCTGCATTGATCTCTTTCCAATACGTCTCGTCTTTGTTCGATCTCTTTCTGTTAGCTGCACTAGAATCAAGGAATAAGAAATATTTTTGTGTCCGGTTTTTATAATTGTTACAGCAGTGCAAGTAGAAATAATACATTTTTGGTATCTTGTTAGTTATATAGTTGTGTGCTTCAAGTCATTTCTGACTTACAGAAACCCTAAGTGTCACTTATTTATTTACAGTATTTATAATCCACCCTTCTCACCCCAAAGGGGATTCAGAACAGATCACAGAACACATGTACGGTAAACATTCAATGCTGTTATACACTGACATGACAGACAACTGTACATAGATAGAGGTATATATAGGCTTTCATCTTTGGCATCTTGGAGGCTGTGCTCAGTTCTACTCACGGGGGGGGGGGGGGGGGGCTGTCACTCCATTTTCCCTGCCGAAGAGCTTTGTTCCTCCTTGATCAAATTGCTGGCATTTTTCTGGCATTTTCCTTATGGGTGCCTTAAATACCTCCCCACTTAAGCGGTACCTATTTATCTACTCACATTGCTGTTTTCAAAACTGCTGGGTAGGCAAAAGCTGGACTAAAGGGCAGGACCTCACCCTGATCTGGGCTTCGAACTGCCAATCTTTCGGTTGGCAAGATTTATTGCAGCTGTCAGTTAACTTGCTGTGCTAAAGCCTGTCCAACCCTCTGCCATTGCAAGAAATCAAAATCAAAGCATTCCCGACAGATGGCCACCAAGCCTCTGCTTAAAAACCTACAGAGAAGGAGATATCAGCACACTCCCAGGTTGTAAATTCCATGGTCAAACAGCTCTTGTTGTTAAGAAGTTGTTTCTAAAATTTAGGAGGAATCTTTTTTACTGCAATTTGAAGCCATTGCTCCATCTCCTAGTCTCCCCTCTCAGCCTCTCAAGGGTTTGTACTTTCTCCTTACTTTATCTCGGAACCCCCGGTGGCACAGTGGGTTAAACCCCTGTGCTGGCAGGACTGAAGACTGACAGGTCGCAGGTTCGAATCCGGGGAGAAGCAGATGAGCTCCCTCTATCAGCTCCAGCTCCTCATGCGGGGACATGAGAGAAGCCTCCCACAAGGATGATAAAAACATCAAATCATCCGGGCATCCCCTGGGCAACGTCCTTGCAGACGGCCAATTCTCTCACACCAGAAGCGACTTGCAGTTTCTCAAGTCGCTCCTGACACGACAAAAAAAACCCCTTACTTTAACTTGCAAAAGCAGGGTGCTGCTTGCTTTTGGCAAGAATTGCCTCTGATTTCAGGTCAAACATCTCTTATCCAACATTCCAAAATACTTCAAAATCCCAAATGGTCTGCATAAATGGTTATGATAATGGTATCTTTGCTTTCTTATGGTTCAATACACACACAGTTTGTTTCATGTACAAAAATATTATGTATACATATACCTTTAGGCTATGTGTATAAGCTTCCATGTCCAAGATATCTGATTATGTATATAAAAATATTCCAAAATCTGAAAAAAATCCTGAAATATGGAACAGTTCTGGTCCCAAGCATCTCAGATACAGTAGAGTCTTGCTTATCCGATGGGCCAGCAAAACATCGGATAAACAAACATGTCAGAATAATACAGAGTCTCCTACTGTTACCCATCTGATGCGACACTAGACACCTAGAATGCTAACAACAGGGACTCAAATGGTTAAGGCATGGCGATACCTCGAGGCTAGAGCGGCCCAGCAGGGACTGCTCAGATGTGGAAGAGGAGCATGGAAATCACAGAGGGAAGGAAGGAGGATGCTTCCGCTTCTGATCCTACCCCTTCCCCCCCCCCCTTTCCTTCCTTCCTCCCTCCTCCTTGTCTTGCCTTTTTCACTTATTGGGAATGGAGAGAGTGTTGGGGAGCACTCCTTTAATTGAAGGGGAAATGCTGGAGGAAATGGAGGCATCGGATAAGATGGAATGTCGGATAAGTGAAGGTCGGATAAGCAAGACTCTACTGTAAAGGATGCTCAGCCTGTACTTACAGAAACCCTTATATTTTTGTAAGTGACCCAGTTGTTCTGAATCTGATTGGGGTGTTGTTTGCCCATCCCTGCTGCCAACAGCTGATAATCCAAATATGCAACTGGCAAAGGAAACTTTTACTCACCTTTCACACTTGTTGGGGCCATGCTCCAGAGTCTCTGAAAGGAGAGAATATTTTTTGTTAACTTTCACTTTTATATGGGAAAATGTTAAAGTTAAGGAAGAATGAATATATGTTATGGGACAATAGCCTTTTATGAAACTATACATTTATAGAACAGTAAAAATAATAAAAAGATAACTCCATTTGGAGGTGAAATATTTACTGGGATGGAGGGGATCATGCCCTTATCCTCCCTCCCAATAATTATACTTCTGATGGGAGATATTCAAAACTGTGATATCTGTGAACATACAAACATAAAAACAACAATAATACAAACATGCAAATGCAAACTATGTAAAGGTATCTTACGTCCCCAAGTTCTCTGTAATCTATTCGTGTCACTCCTTGCTATTCTGAATAAGGGGACTCTAGCAAAATATCGTTCATGTTAAAAATAACCCCAAATTGTTGCACTTAATTTGCAAAATGGAGGGCTTTTTTATTTATCGCTAGTAGAAGATGGGCTGCGGGACTTGGAGAGAAAACCACCTGCACATATTAATTTCACAAGAATATATGCCTGCCAGCACTTAAGTGAAATCTGTGTGAAAAGTGAGAGTGTGTCTCACAGGCCTGAAATAAAGCAGAAGACAAACGGGAGACACGTTTATAGTTTATTGATGGGGCTGGAAAAACGCCGATTCCGGTGTGAAAAGGCAGACTCCCAGGGCTATGGAAAGCTGGGCCAGAGGCAGGCTCAAAACCTCCTCCCTAAATCCAGCAACAGACATTCAAGCCATTCTCCAGTCTGGTTTTTCTCCTTCTCTGAGAACTCAACACTTAAAGTCTGCCCTCCATATATGCAGGTGTAACTTTTGCAGATTTGCTTAGTTGTGTATTTTAATAATATGGTCTTTCTGTAACCTCTGGGTTCCCCCACTGTGATTGTTGAATTGGTTGAGACTCTATGAGCTATTCATTGAAAAACTATAGCAAAATGTACTGTAGGATGTCCTGAAAAAATTAAGTTTTTGCAGTTTAATAAACTTTTTCCATGTTTTTATGATAGACCCAATTAGGAAATGACATTTATAACTGAGAATCAAAAATTGTGTTGCATAGTATAATCTGTCTTGCTGGCAATTGGTTTGGTTAAATGTTGTTCTGATTGAGTTTTAACGTTACTGTTTTATACTCTTACGTTTTATTGAACTGTGCTTTTATCTGGATTGTTATACTTAACTATGTTTTTATTTCAATTATGTTTTTGCTATGATAGATTGTTTTGTATTGTGTCTGTGGACATTTTGTCCCATATGTAAGCCAAACCCGAGTCCCTTCAGGGAGATGGTAGCAGAGTATAAGAATAAAGTTGTTGTTGTTGTTGTTGTACAACCCATCAGATGTTTTGGCTCCTAGCTGCTGTAGCCAGCAAAGCCAATGGTGGCAATGGCCAAAAAGACACACTCTTGCCTGAATTAATGTCTCCAGAAGAAGGGGGTGAGGAGCTAAAGCAAATCATAGTGACAAGAGAGGAAGTTCAAGATTTCACTGAAAATTGCAAACAAGCTAATCAATAGGTCCATGTGGTATCTGCCCAAGAATTCATTAAAAATTCAAAAGCAACATAACTAATTTTAGTTATATAATATGGCTCCTGCAAAGGTAAAACTTATCTCATTAATATACTGTATTTAAAAGTGTTAACAAACGTATGGACACGAGTGATCTGGGAAATATTTTCTACTTGGATTCCCAGAGTTCACAGACTTATAATCACTTTGTCAGAAGAATTTTCTGAAGCATGGCTCTTTAGATTTGTGGTATTATTTAGGAGCTAGGTGGGCCCCTGATCTGACTTGGTATAAAGCAGCTTCCTCATTTCTAGTGAAGGATGATCTTACATAGCAACTTCTATACAAGCTATTTTCTGGTTAGTTTGGGCTGCCTCATCCTGTTTCCACCTTTTTCCTGTCCTCTGCTGCTTCCAAGAGAATTATAAATCTCTCACTACTGGAATCCTGCACAGAATTAACAGAAGTTTCTCATGGAGAATGATACTAAAATTGTACCATTCAGAGCCAAGGTATTAATCATTGGTCCAGACAAGTTCTGTGTTTCAACAATACCATTTTTGTTATATGCTACTGCCTTCATGACCCCCCTGATGGTGCAGTGGGTTAAACCGCTGAGCTGCTGAACTTGCTGACTGAAAGGCTGGTGGTTCACATTTGGGGAGCAGGGTGAGCTCCTAGTGTTAGGCCCAGCTACTGCCAACCTAGCAGTTCAAAAACATGCACATGCGAGTAGATCAATAGGTTCCGCTTCTACAGGAAGTTAACAGCACTCTATGCAGTCATGCTAGCCACATGACCTAGGAGATGTCTGCAGACAACGCTGGCTCTTCAGCTTAGAAATGGAGATGAGCACACACACACACACACACCCAGAGTCAGACATGACTAGACTTAATGTCAGGGGAAAGCTCGACCTTTACTGCCTTCATGCTTCATATTATATTAAGTGCAATTAAATTATTGACTTTGCTCTAAACCATGACACACTCCTCAGCAATAAGGAGAGATATAAATACTTCTAAAATAAAATAGACACACCCCAAGTTTCATTTGAGGGGCACATGCATGGAGTAAAGTTCAAATGTTAGTTTGAGAAACTTTTAACAAACTCCAAAAGATGGGGCAATTACACTAAAGGTGACTTTCATGACGCAACTTGTAAACATGCATAAATCACATTGGATCCAGTTTCGAAACAATATATCCTTCTTTGCCCTTAGCAGTCATCTGCAAATCAGGGCTATTTATGAACTGAGGTTGAGCCTCAGCAGGAAAAAAAAGGAGGAGGAAAAAGTGAAAACAAAACGACACCCTCCCAAACGTCATGATTTTCAAAGTGCCTGTTTTTATCACAGTTATTTAAAATTGTGCAATGCATTTTGGAAAATATTATTCCTTCTGTAGGGGCACACTGATAAAAAAAAATGCACAGACTTTGTCAAGAATTAGGTGAAACATGCCTTTTTTTATTTATGGCATTATTTGGGATCTCATTCGTAACCAAGAGGGAAACACAGAGTCTTGACTAGGGTCGATGGGGCCAAAGTCCTGCATTGGCATTCTAGACCTCAGCCCTGATAGGACATTGGAGTTCACTGTTTTCCAACTCCTAAAGTCAGGTAAAGGCCACTGCAGAGAGTATTCAAGGAAGCATGAAAGCAAAACCTTTTTTTTAACTACCCTGCTTAATTCACAGCTTAATACAGGGATACAGTTGATAGTGTTTTCCATTTGTAACCCACTGATTCCCCCCTCCCCCCCATTTTATCTTCCAACATTTTCTTCTCATAGGAAACAGGTAAAGAGAAAAGAAAATAACTGCAAAAGAGAGCAATGACCAATCTCGATAAAATAGTGAAGAGTAGAGATATCACGCTGGCAACAAATATCTGCATAGTAAAAGCAATGTATTCCCCGTAGTAACCTATGGATGTGAGAGCTGGACTATAGGGAAGGATTGAGTGATGGAAGATAGATGCTTTTGAACTGTGGTATTGGAGGAAGTTCTGAGAGTGCCTTGGACCACGAGAAGATCCATACTTCAGGAAATAAAGCCCGATTGCTCATTGGATATTAGAGGCCAAGATGAAGTATTTTGGCCACATAATGAGAAGACAGGAAAGCTTAGAAAAGACAATTATGCTGGGGAAAATGGAAGGAAAAAGGAAAAGGGGCCGACCAAGGGCAAGATGGATGGATGAAAGTCACCTTTAGTGTAATTGCCCCATCTTTTGGAGTTTGTTAAAAGTGTTTCTCAAACTAACACAGTCCTTGAAGTGACTGGCTTGACCTTGAAGGAGCTGGGGGTGGTGACAGCTGACAGGGAGCTCTGGCATGGGCTGGTCCATGAGGTCATGAAGAGTCGGAAGCGACTGAACGAATGAACAACAATTTCTTGATCAGTAGCATAAGGAGTCATAGACCTGGAAGTATCTCTGATCTCTAGAGGGAAATCCAGCATCAGCCACTGAAACTGACACTCTTCTTGATTTTGCAGCACTGTGGTTTAAGTCAATAGTCTTGTATACAACACTGGAGTTGAAAGACTCCATCAATCTTTCTGAATCACAGTTTTATGTTTCCCCTTTTAAATTATTCTCTTGCTTGTTACTGTGTGAAAGATCCTCCCAGAGAGGGAAGCAAGCGGCTCAGTTGCACAAGAAGAGGAGAAAGAAACAACCGTGTATGGAAAGAGGCTGTCATGAATAGCACAAAAGTACAGGAGAAGGAGAGAGTGGGGTGGGGAGAAGAGTTATTTTTCTGATGGCTTTCCAATGTATTTCCTTCAGTAAACAGCAAACCCAAGAGTTATCATCCACAGAGCCTCCTGAGAATACGGCATAGAGCTTGTTTTGAGAGTGTTATGCATTGCACACCACTCGGAGAAACATTAATTGTGTACAAAGCAACTGTGGAATTTTTACAAATATTTAAACAATGGAATAATGCTGTGTTGAATTATATCACAGCTGGGTTAAATAACACAAGTGTTAAATAAGTCACTCATCCACTAAATTGTACATTGCATGGTGTACATCAGGCTTGCCAGATATGTCAGGGTTTCCCCCCTCTTCCCTCCAGAGTAAAGGACAATCCTTTATAACACCAGAGAATTCCACTAGTTAGTTTTCCTCGGGTCAAGATCATCAAAATATTTATCACTAATGTTTATATATTCTTTAAGAACCTCACAGAATCCAAGGGCATTTCAGTCCAACCTCAGGCATGCAAGGATACATAACGAAAGCTTTCCTAAAACATAGCCATCCAATCCGGAGCCCCCGTGGCACAGTGGGTTAAACTGCTGAGCTGCTAAACTTGTTGACTGAAAGGTCGCAGGTTCAAATCTGGTAGTGGCGCAAGCTTCTGCTGTCAGCCCCAGCTTCAGTCAACCTAGCAGTTCGAAAACATGCAAAATGTGAGTAGATCAATAGATATTTATCTGGCAGGAAGGTAATGGCGCTCTCTGCACCCA